CTCCCACCCCCCAAGCCCCCACCTACCTTCTGGCCCTTGGGGCCCACCACGCAAATCTCTCCTGGCCGGCCCTGCCGGGAGGAGAGTAAGGTGTGAAGGCTCTGCACGTGCAGCGCCGTGCACGCCACGGGGCGGGCTGGTCCAGCGGCCGGACCCTGCCACCCCAGGGGGTGCCGCAGGGGGTGCCCAGGTACCACCCCGCACTACTCACATCGCGCCCCGGGCGCCCCGGCTTGCCCTGCAGTCCCCCGTCGCCCTTCTCGCCCTTCTGGCCCTGTAGGACAGACGGACGTCACCCATGTCGTCTCCCATGCTACCCGGGTTGGCACCGGCAGATCCTGGCACCTCTGCCGCCATCCCGGGGCCCACGGGGCAGTCATCCCCGCTGCAATGCCGGGACCCATGGGCGGGCTGGACTTACCTTCTGCCCATCGGCACCGGCTGCCCCTGGGAGCCCCTGCGTGGGAACAGCAGGGCAAAGTGGGTGCCCACGGGTGGGCTCATGCAGGGCTTCCCTCCCGCTCGCACCACCGCTCCTTTCATCCCACCACCACCCACTGAGCTGTCTCCTCCGGGCCGGACCCCCGCGCCCCAGCCCTGGGTACGCATGAGACGTGGGGGGGGAAGCACGGCCAGGTCCCCGTGCTGCGGCCCCATCCGCCGAGCATCACTTACCACCTCTCCGCGCTGCCCCTTCTCGCCCCGTGGCCCCTCAGCGCACTGGGGAGGAGGAGGGATTGGGGTGAGGGGGGGGCAGCAGAGCCAGGGTGGGGGTACACAGAGGGTGGGGGGGTCTCACCTGCACAGGGCCGCCGGGGTGGGTGTGCACGCAGTCAATGCCCTGTGGGAAGGCAGGAGGCAGCTCAGGGGCTCTGCCTGCACCGGCCATGGCTGAGGACGGGGGGCCATGGCAGGCAGGAGCGCTCCCCAGGGCAGCGGGACCCCCCATGTGCTGAGGACCACCGCAGGGAGTGCCCCCAGGGCAGGGGGGTCCCTGCCCACGACGTGGCTGGGGACACTCACACGGTCGCCTTTCTCCCCCTTGCTGCCAGTGGTGCCGGGGAGGCCGCGCTCGCCCTTCCCACCCTGCAAGAGAGGGCAAGTGTGGGTGACGAGATGAGGAATGGGTGTCCCCATGTCCATGTGTGTGCCCACAGCGGGGCCCACGGCTCCTGCGCAGGGATGCTCTGGGCACAGCCGAGGGTCTGCATGGCCACGTCCCTGCTAGAGATGGGCTCTGCATGTCCTGGGGGGTGACAAACCTACCTTTGGACCCGGGGGACCAAGTGTGACCTAGGGAGAGAGGAGAGAGGTGTCCAGCAGTGTCCGGAGCCCTGCAAGGGCACAATGCCTCCAAACAGCAGCAGGAGAGAGCCCCATCCCTGCTGCGGTCCCCATCCTCCCGTCACCCTGTCCCCAAGTGCCACCCCGGGAGTCCCATGGGGCACATGGGGTCCCAAACATCCACCGTCCCATCATCAGCCCCACGCCTCCAGCCAGAGGTTGCCATAGGAATGGGGCCACATCTGGAAGGGATCAGAGACCTTCCCCGCAGCCATATGTTGCTGGGCCCCGGGCCAGGAGGAACCGCGGGTCGCAGGGGGCTGGCAGCGATGGCAGAGCGGCAGATGACAGCCCTGGGCCAGCACGCCGGTGACTTTTGCCAGCCCCAGCTCACAGCCCAGCCCCAGCAAATGGGTCAGGGTCCCCATCTCCTCCCGCCAGCACAGCCCAGTGTTGCCCGGTGGCACACTCACGTTTGCCGAGGCCGTCTGTGGCGAGCAGGGCGGGCACTGGAAGAGATGGGGAGGGAGGCTTGCACCAGCTTCATGCACCGCCCATGGCACCCACAACCCTACAGCACCCACAACCCGCTCCCCTGGGCACCCCAAACCCGAGGGGCTCACCCAGCAGCATCTCTCCCCGCCATCCCTGGGGTGCCCATGGACACAGGGGGATGCCCAGGACAGAGAAGGGAAAAGCCAGGAGAGCATTTTCCCCCCACTGCGTCCCCGGGGAGGCGAGGAGAGCGGCTGACCTGGCACCCGGCTCTCCCTGCGGCTTTGTGGCTTGACCGCAGCTCCACCAGGCCAAACCAGCTGCTCCAGCGTGCTCCCATGGGACCGGGGCCAGGAGGATGGGGCTGCCCACACCCCGCGCCCGGGTGCCGGTGCCAGCAGGGCTGAGCACAGCCCCCCGGGCTCCCATCCCCCAGCCAGGGCCAGCCCCACACCTCACCCCCTCACTGGGTGTCCCTGGCTGCCAGGGGTGGCCCCTGCCACCCTGCAGGGAAGTTACAGGGAGCAGAGGGTGAAAAGAAAAGCCAGGAGGGCTTGTAGCCCCCACAAGCCCCATGGCCCCCAGTCCACACTGTGGGACCTGGTCTGCACCCTGGGGATCCCCAGCAGGATCCCACCGTGGGGATGCAGCAGCCTCAGGCAAGGATGGGGCACGGAGCGCACTGGAGATGCTTCCCAGCTCCAGCAGCGCTCTGGAGACGCTCAGAGGGAACAAAGAGGCTCTTGGCCATGGCTGGGATCGCTCCAGCAGCGGCGAAGAGTTAAGTGGGGCCTCAATTCCTGCTCGGGAGAACAGAGCAGCGGCTTCTGCAGGCGTCCCTGCAGCTCTGGCAGCAGCAGAAAGTTCCCGAATGGAACAGGGACAGACCCAGACCAGGGCGTGGATGGGCCCCAGCACGACACCGGCACCGGCGGTAGGAAGGGGAGTGGAGCCAGGCGTGCTGGGACTGGTGCAGCTGGGCTGGGACACCCTCTCCCACCTCCCCTCACCTTCTGCCCATGATCTCCCTTCAGGCCAGTCCTCCCTGAGGTCCTCACTGGCTCCTGTGGAGAGAGCAGAGTACCCATGGGTGCTACCTCCCCATGCACCCCTGGGTTATCCTTCCTGGGGCACCCATGGGTGCGACCTGCCTCAGGCTAAGCCCTGAGCCGGCGGCTCAGCCGGAGCAGACCGGCAGCGGGGCTGCAGGAGCCCTCCCCTCCCTCGCTCCCTGCCGTCTGGCCGCCACCAGCTCCCTCCCTCCCCTCGCACTGAGCCTGGCGCGATGGAAAATGTGAGACAGGGCTTTTCCAGGGGCTGAATCAACGTGGCTGCCGGCTCGGCAGCACCAGGCACCCGGTGCAGCGGCCGAGCACTGCCCACCCCGCGGGGCCGGGAGCATCCCACGCCGGGCTGGGGGCCTGTGCCAGGCTGCCGGCGGGATGCAGAGCTCACCGTGCCCAGCGGCTCCTCCAGGCAGAAGCAGCGGGTGTACACCCGGCCCTCCGGCTGCGGCGAGATCTCGATGAGGTTGCTGCTCTGCATCAGCTCTGCTTGCCGACGGGTCTTGGGTGCTTCCACAAGGCACTGCCGGGAGAGAGGGGGGTCGGGGGGCTGCCAGGGTGAGAGCCGGGAGCCCCAGCCCTGCCTGAGCACCCAGTGCAATTCGGGAAAGGGATGCATCCTGCACCGTGCCCTGTGCTGGCCATGGGGACAGGCATCGAGTGATGTCCCAGGGCTGGTGGAGAGCTGCCCTGTGTCCCCAGCCACCGCAAGCAGGAGGTGACCCACAGGGGAGCTCTGGCTAAGAGACCTGCCCTCACCGTGCCTCAGTTTCCCCTCTGGGGAAAACCCTGACCATGCAGGGCAATGCCAGGGCGCTGCTGGGACCGGGGTGGGGCTCGGGGGGACTCACCCCGCTGGCCGAGATCTCACAGCACCCCTCCTGCCTGGCCAGCTCGGCGTCACAGTAGATCTGAGCTTGCTGGATGTCAAACTGCAGTGGGAAGGGGGCAGCAGGTCAGGAGCAGGCAGGGACAGATCCTGCACCACAGGCAGAGCATGCCCGCACCCCCACAGGGACTCACCCGGACCGGGGTGCCGCGCACGGCATCCAGCCCCAGGAAGGCGTTGCCCTCCGGGGCCAGCGGTCGCCAGGATGCCAGTGGCTTGGAGGAGATGGAGGCACAGTCGAGGTGGATGGAGATGGAGTGGCTCTGCACGGCCACCGCCACCTTGTGCCACCGCCCGTCGAAGAGGGACGCCACAGCCTTCCCCGCGAAGACAGAGCTGACAAACGTGGCCCCCGGCGCCCTGGCTTGAAACTCCAGGCTCTTCTCAGGGCCATGCACGGCCAAGGAGAGCTGGGCAGAGAGGGGACAACACCTCGCTCGGGGACGGCTCCTGGCTGTCCCCTCGCCGCTGGCACGTCCCACCACCCCAGGGCTGTACCTGGGGGTAGCCCTGCCGGTCGGTGACCTGGAAGAGGTACCAGTGCTCCCCGGTGCTGTTCTTCTTCAGCAGCAGGGTGAGGACGAGTGTGAAGGCGGGGGGGAGGCCACGGGGAAACACCTGCCTGCGGGGACAGGCGTCAGGAGCGGCCAGACCCTGCACCGAGCTCCGATGCCGGAGCATTTGCACCAAAGCCGGTGGCAGCACCAGCCCCAATACCCCCACCCACATGGCACCCGCTGGCAGCATCACCCCAACAGCCCCCATGGGTCCCACCAGGGTCTGTCCCCATCGGTGGCACCGCGGATGCCATCGGGGCAGATCCAGTCCTGGCCCCACGTGGCAGCGCCTGGACGTGGAGCTGTTTGTGTCTCAGGCGGACGGCGGGCTGTGGCTGCCGGAGACGCCAGCACTTATGCAACAGGAGCTGAACACGAGGCAGACGGCAGAGACGCTTCCTCCCGTCCTGGCATGGCACGGGGAGCTCAGACCGTCCCCCCAAAGCACAGGCCTGCACCCCTCGCACCAGCCGGACACGCATGCGGTGGAGGGGGCCAAGCCCAGCCTGCCCCAGGCACCCCCAACCACTGTCCCCATCCCTGCCCCACGGCACAGCCACCATCTCCACCGTGCACCCCCAAACATGGCCCTCCTGGGGCGGCTGCAGCACCTGGGGCCATGCATTTATCACCATGGTATTGAATTTTGTCCTCAGGCAGCTGGGAAATGCATCCCTGACCCCACGGGCTCTGTGGGACGGATGCTCCCATGCAGGCAGTGGGCAGCCGTGGCACCCACCTCCCACAGGCAGCCTGGTCCCCCCTCGCACGGTGGGGAGCAGGGCAGCCGTTCCTCGGTGGGACCGTGCCCAGCTCGCCCGCAGCCCACTCAACCACTGGAAATATTTGCTTCGGGCTCCACTCAGCTCCTGGCCTCAGCTCTACCACGCCAGCGATTTTCCAAGCCACTGCTCTGGAGCGGGACCAAGGCATGGGAAGCAAGCGGGACCCGGCGGTCCCCTCTGCTCTCCGCAGGGCACAGGGATGTCTTCATGGGGCACCCAAGCGCAGGGCCAGGGCAGAGGGGCACCCATGGGTGCCCACCAGGGACTCACAACCTGGCTGCTGGGCCACCCTTGTGCTAAGCGCTCCCCAGGGCTGTCTCTGGGCTGCCACAGGCACCCAGCCAAGAGCAACACCAGCCTGGAGCATCCGCCACCTCGAAGCCATCTAAGGACTTGGCTGCTCAGGTCAGGAGCCAAGGCTGGGTTTCCTTCACCCTCAGGAGAGCCCCGTGCCCGGCGTAGCCGTGTGCCAGCCCCGGGGTGATGTGGGGACAGGCGGGCTGGAGGAGGTAACCATGCAAACCGCAGCAGCTTCCTCCAGGAACAGCTTCCGAGGACGTGGACCTGCTCCCACCTTGCCACGCTGCAGCATCCCTGCCAGCCCTTGCCCATCGGGCACGGCCGGGCAGGACGTGCTGGAGACGGTGGGGCTGAGGGCTGGTCTCTGTGTGCCTTCCCCAGCAAACCCCTGTGGCCCCAGCAAACCCAGCAGTGCCTGCTCAGAGCTGTGCAGCATTTTGAGCTTGTCTAGACCCCAGCGAGCGCCTGCCAAGCCGAGGAGAGCAGACACAGAGCAGCCACAGAGCCGTGGTTGCGTAAGGGCTGGCCACGACCCAGCCGAGCTGCTGCAGCCTGTGATTTACTTTCTAGGAGGAAGGTGGCTTGGGAAGCCCCGGGGCTGCACCACCGGCACCTCTGCGTCCCCCCGGAGCTGCCTGGCCTCTCCAGCACGAGGTAAGGGTGAAGTCTAAAGAGCTTTGCCTGGGCCCCATCCTTAAAACACGCAGGGATGGTGCCCGCTGGCGCTCTGGCCACCAAGGGCCACCCCACGAGCCTCCTGCACTCACTGCGTGGGCTGGACCAGCGGCACGGCACCCAGCCGGAGCACCACCGGCCCCCTCGGGTTGCGGACTTTCTTGATGGAGGAGATCTTCAGCAGGTCGAACCTTTTAATCAGGTTAAAACCTGCAGGACAGAGCGGAGGGGGTGAGACCTGGGTGCCGAGCGCTGATGCTCTCCAGGCAGGGCAAGGAGCCCACCCCTGGGGAGTCGGGGCTGTCCGGAACCCCCGTCTGCAGGGTGAGGGGGGCTTTCCTTACCCGTTATGTTCTCATACTTGCCCCCGACCAGATCCTCATCCCAGAGCTGTGGGCACAGCTCCCCTGCAAGGCAAATCAGCACATCACTGCCATGTCCCCAGGGAGGCTGTACAAGCAGGGTCAGACCGTGCGGAGCCCCCCAAGTCCCTGCAGGTCTCGGGGCACTGCCGGGAGCTCGCCCCGGCCCCCCGGCACGCCGAGGCTGCTGGCAGCCACAGGGCAACACGGATCCAGCAAATACGGCTCCCACGGCAGCACCGTCTCCTTGCAAACAGCCCGCCAGGAGCGAAGCAGCAGGTTTGGAAGGGACGGAGGGTGAGCTCAGAGCTGGCGCCGGCCGCCTCCCGCAGCAAGTTCACCAGGTGAAATGCTTTTCCCAGTTGCTGCGTGTTTTGCCTCAAAACAGCCCCGCAGCTGGAATCGGCATCAGGAGACGTGGACAGGTGCCACAGACACACAAGGCGGGGAGATGGCACCCAGAGCTGCCCGCTGGCCTTCCTGTCCCATCTGGGTGACATCTTCGGACCTGGTGGCCCCTGGGGACAGGCACGAGGGCCGGGCCAGGGGATGGGGAGAGGCTGAGCTGCAGGAAATGCCTTGTCAGTCGCGATCACGGGGATGCTGGTGCTGTTTGCAACTGCGCTGATATATTATTGCTCCAGCAGCATCAATCCACCTCCGCTGGATGCTACCAGATGTTGGGACGCGCAAGATAGAGGAGGAAACAATGGGGTATTGAAGGAGGAATATGTTTTGTCTCCATGCACACACCAGACCTGGAGGGGCTGTTCCCGAGGGTTGGTTCTGGCCCCCGCGGCCCCACTGCCCACCTCCACCCCAGGGCTGGGCACCACCACGGTTCGTCTCCCGCAGGCTGACCGCTTGCTCGCACATGGCCAGCAGCAGCGCAGGGAGGTGCCCCTCGCCCTCGGGACCCCCAGCACGGTGGCAGCAGCGGGGGCCGCGGTACTGGAGCTGGCCCCGCAGGCACGTGTCGCAGCCAGGAGTGGAGCTCCCTCCTGCTGGCGGTGAGATCATCCGCAGCGGGGCAGGGGGCGGAAAGCGAGGCATAAATCACCTCCGGCACAATCTGCTTTGAAGCCTCTCCCGGCCCCAGTACTGCCCCTAAGGGAAAACCTCATCTCCCCAGCCCTTGTTTCCCTAACGAAGGGTCCGGAGCCAGGCGGCCATGCCGTGCGGGACAGTGGGTGCTGGTGCTGGCCATGGAGTCCCTTGCACGGGCAAAGCGGGGCAGCCCCCGGGCCCTGCCGGGATGAGCCACCACTCCACCCCCGCAAAGACTGATGCAACCACGGCTTTGCTGCCAGCAGCTCCTCCCCGCCATCCGCCTCGAGCTCACCCGGAGTTGCGGCCAGCCCCATGCCGGGACCCGAGCACAGCGGCCCCGCAGCCAGGGAGGCCTTGATGGGGAATCCCATGGGCTCAGTCATCATCCCCCTGTCCCCAGCTGCATGGGGACAGCCCCGAGCTCTCCACTGTTGGCATGCACCATGGCCAAACCTCTTCCCACCTCGCAGCCGGAGGCCAAAACCCCCTCAGGAGCTCTGCGCATCCTCGCCGCTGCCCTGAGCGGTCCTGGCTCACCTACAGAGCAGCCCCTGCTCGCTCCCGCCCGGACCCAGCTCCTGCACATGCTGCCGGACGGCGCTGCCTTCGCCGCCAGCTGGCAGCAAGGGCCCTGCGGCCGGAGCATGGCCAAGCCCGCTCCCTCCATGAGTACGGCCTGGGCCATGGGGTGTTCCCGGCACTCGGCTGCTGCGGGGGTGATGGCGGGGTGTCCCTGGGCTGGCTCCCCGTGGCAGGGCTTGCTCAGCTCTCCCTGCTCCCCTGCCCGCACAGGATGCTGAGCAAAGCCCAAAGCCACGGCAGCTGGTGCTCAGCAGGGAGCCGATGTCCGCAGCTGCTGCTCTGGCCGCCAGCGTGCCGGCCACCTGGCATGGCTCACGGTGTCCCCTGGCCACCTCTGCCCTGTGATCCCTGGATCTGACCAGCCCTCTTCTCCCTCCTCTCCCCAGGGACAGCCAAGGAGGGGGCTGCTCCTGTGCAGACCCTGAGCCCTCGCTCCCAGTGCCCCTTACCTTCTGCCGGTGGCAGCTCTTTCCCCTCGCAGGCACTGATGAGCCCTGCGAGCGCGAGGGCCCAGAGACCCCTCATGGTGCCCCCGGCAGCGGCTCGGGGCCAACGTGGCTGCCTGCAAGGGAGAGAGATCAGGCAGCAGCGGGACAGGCACGTGGTGGGCACCATCCCGCAGCCCCGGAGTTCGCCCGCGCTGGGACGCTGCCAGCAAAGCCACCAGCATGGAGCTGATGCTGACCCACTCAGCCATGGCTCGGACAAGTTTTGGGGGTCAGTGTGGCCCCCATCCACTGCTGGATCCCCCGTCTGCTCCGTAAGAGCCCAGCATCCCAAAATTCATGGGTTCAGTCCAACCCCAGCACCCAGTTTTACTCCAAACATCCGGAAACGCGGAGGCTGGGGTGCCCCAGAGCAGAACCGGGTCCCTCCTGCGCAGGACCTCCTGGGAAGGTCTCGCTCCCTCCTGTTTTATCTCCCGGTCCCGTGTGGATCCCTGGGGTGGCCCAGGCCCTGCAGGTCACCCCGACCTGGCCTCCCTCCTGCCTGCTTCCTGCCACGAGGCAAGGCAGGGATGCAGGCAGCCGGAGCCGGGCGTTGTGACAGCCCGGACACGTTTGGCTCCCCCCCGCCCCGCGCACGAGGGGCCCCG